AAACCTGAGGATGCAGTGACAACAGAAGCTGTAGTGTCTGAACTGCCAACAATAAAGGCAGAGCTTCCAGTCACAACAACGGAAGGAGGGGCGTCTTCAGAGGTTTCAACAACTGTCAAACCAGAGGAAAGCGTAACGACTGAGGGCGTGACATTTGGTGCTCCAACGACAGTTAGACCTAAAGAGAAGACAACAAAGAGTTCAATTGATGACTTGCCAACAGCAAAGGCTGAGCTTCCAGCCACAGCAACAGAAGGAGAAGTGTCAGCTGAGACGTCAACGACTGTCAGACCAGAGGAAAGAGTTACAACAGAAACTTCCACTTCTGAACTCCCAACAACAAAGGCAGAACTTCCAAACATGACAACTGAAGGAGGAGTGTTGGTTGAAACGTCGACCACGCCTGAACCTGAGAAACAGATCACTACCGAACAATCAGTTAAACCAGAGGAAACTGTTACGATAACTGAGGCGTCAACAACTGCCAAACCAGAGGAGCGAGTTACTACACAAACAGCTGAACCCTCAACTTCAAAGAGCAAGCTTCCGCTGACAACAGAGGCTTCAAGTACACTCAAACCTGAGGACAGATTTACAACTGAGGGCGTGTCAGCTGAAGGTACAACGACAGTTAAACCTGAGCAGGAGGAGGTCACAAAGAGTTCAATTGATGAGTTGCCCACGGCAAAGGCAGAGCTACCAGTGACAACAACTGAAGGAGGAGTGTCCTCAGAGGCGACCACAACTTTGAAACCTGATGAGCGAGTACCTGCTGAAGCATCAACGACACTCAAACCAGAGGAAAGAGTGACCACTGAAGGTGTAATTTCTGAAGCTTCAACAACACCCAAACCTGAGGTTGTAGTGACAACAGAAGCTGCAGTTTCTGAACTGCCAACATCAAAGGCAGAACTTCCTGTGACAACAACTGAAGGAGGAGTGTCAGTTGAAACTTCACCAACGACATCTAGGCCAGAAGGCGAAATAGTCACAGAGAGTGTACCATCTGAAGCACCGACATCAATCAAACCTGTTGAAGGTGTGACCACGGAAAAGGAACCCGAGCTGTTGGCAACTACTCCAGTTTCTGAGGAGAGAACGACAACTTCCAAACCTGACCTTGTGACTGCAACTTCGACTGAACTTCCTGTCACAACTGATGCAGTGTCTTCGGAAGCTACAACGACCACAAAGCCGGAGGAGCGAATAACCACTGAATCAGCGACAAGCGAGCCCAAGGAGAGGACTACCACAGAAAGTGCTGTGTCTGAACTCCCAACGACAGTCAAATCAGAGCTTCCAATGACCACTCTGTCACCAGTTTCCACAAGCTCTGAATCCGCTTCTACTTCAACTGTGAAGGATGAAGGAGAAGTCACTTCCAACCCAACAACTCCTGAACCTTCTGCCCAGCCATCAACGACAATGTCTTCAATACTCGACTCGATGATCACCACTGTCAAGTCCATCTTCACAACTCCCTCTCCAGCTGATGAAGTGTCCACTGTCACCTCAGAGGAGCCCGAGTCAGTTACTCATGCCACTCTTGAGGTGTCCACTCCTGAAGAGAAGGACTTGATTGATAGAGTGACTGAAACGGCTGAGCAGGCCTCCTCTTCTACGACGTCAGCGCCAGCAACTGAACCACCAGCAACTGATGGAGTTCAACCAGAAATGCCCACTGTACAATCAGTCTCAGAAAAGGAGTTGCCTTCTACCACGACGTCAGCACCCGAATCATTCACGTTATCTGCTGGAGGTGACGTGGAGACAACCACTACAGAGAAGGTGCCTAGACCTCCCCCAGTTTCCGCCTCTATCACCACCACCACCACTACTGCTCCAGAGTCGACTGTGATAAGCGAGACGACGACGACGACAACAAAGAGTCCTGTTTCAGAAAAAGAGGAGGAAGAGGTGTCCACTGTTTCGACGTCCTCACCGGAGACAACGACATCGACAGAGACGGCCAAGGAGGGTGATGAGGAGGTGACCACAAAGGCTAGCAGTATTCCACCGGTTTCAGTCTCTATCACTACCACTACTACCCCAGAGTCAATTGTGATAAGCGAGACGATGACTACAACAACAAAGAGTTCCGTCTCAGAAGAGGTGACCACACAGAGACCAGTTGATGAGCTGCAAACGGTAAAGGCAGAGCTACCGGTGACGACAACTGAAGGAGGAGTGATTTCTGAGGCGTCAACTACAACTGTCAAACCCGAGGAGCGAGTGACCACTGAACCATCATCGTCAGTTAAGCCTGAGGAAACGGTGACGAAAACTGAGCCAGCCATCTCTGAGCTTCCGGTTACGACTGAGGCAGTTCAGAGAGAAACTTTGACGACACCCAAACCAGAGGAAAGAGTGACCACTGAAGGTGTGCTTTCTGAAGCATCATCGACACTTAAACCTGAGGATGCAGTGACAACAGAAGCTGTAGTGTCTGAACTGCCAATAGCAAAGGCAGAACTTCCAGCAGTGACAACAACAGAGGGTGGAGTGCCTTCTGAAGCGTCATCAACTGCTAAACCTGAGGACAGTGTTACGACAGAGGGCGTCTCATCTAAAGCTCCAACGACAGTTAGTTCTGAGGAAAAGACAACAAAGGGTTCAGTTGATGAGCTGCCAACAACAACAAGAGCAGAGCTTCCGTCGACTACAACAACTGAAGGAGAAGTGTCAGTTGAAGCGTCAACGACAGCCAAACCAGAGGAGAGAGTGACTAATGAAGCTGGTGAACTGCCAACTGAAAAGAGCGAGCTTCCAGTGACAACGGAAAGTGCTCAAACAGAGACTTCAACGACACTTAAACCTGAAGACAGGGTAACGACTGAGGGCGTGTCATCAGAATCTCCCACCACAATCAGACCTGAGGAGAAGACAACAAAGAGTTCGGTTGATGAGCTGCCGACAGCTAAGGCAGAGCTTCCAGCAATGACAACAACTGAAGGAGAAGTGTCAGTTGAGGCACCAACGACTGTCAGACCAGAGGAGAGAGTCACTGCAGAAACAACGACACTTAAACCAGAGGAGAGAGTGACCACTGAAGGTGCAGTTTCTGAACTGCCAACATCAAAGGCAGAACTACCGGTGACGACAACAGAGGGAGAAGTGCTGATTGAGGCTTCAACAACTGTCAAGCCTGAGGAAAGAGTAACTGAGGGAGTTTCATCTGAAGCTCCAACGACAGTTAGACCTGAAGAAGCAGTGACGACAACAGAGTCGGTCATTTCTGAGAGTCCTGTTACGACTGAGGCTGTACCGTCAGTTTCAGAAAAGGAGTTAGCGTCTACTTTGTCGTCCAGGCCCGATTCATCCACGAAAACTCCCGAGCCATCTGTCCAGTCATCAACGACAATGTCTTCAATACTCGACTCGATGATCACCACTGTTAAGTCTATCTTCACAACTCCCTCTCCAGCTGATGAAGTGTCTACTGTGACTTCAGAGGAGCCCGAGTCAGTTACTCATACCACTCTTGAGGTGACCACTCCTGAAGAGAAGGACTTGGTTGATAGAGTGACCGAGAAGGAGGAGCCCTTCTCTACGACATCAACCACGCCAGTTGCTGTGCCTGAAAGAGTTCAACCAGAGGTATCAACAACAGCAGAAGTCTCAGAAAAGGAGTCTCCCTCTACGACATCTAGACCAGAATCTTCAACACTAGCAGCTGATTCCACTGAGGGAGTTCAGCCTGAAACCTCTACTACTCCATCAGAAAAGGGTGAACTTCCTGACACTACAACAGAAAAGAGTCTGGCAACAGAAAGTGAACCACCGTCTACAACGCAACAAACAGAGGTTGTAACAACAAAGAGTCCAGTTGATGAGCTGCCAACAGAGGCAAAGGCAGAGCTTCCAGTGACAACAACAGAAGGAGAAGTGTCAGTTGAGGCGTCAACGACTGCCAAACCAGAGGAGCAAGTCACTGCTGAAGCAACGACACTCAAACCAGAGGAGAGAGTGACCACTGAAGGTGTGCCTTCTGAAGCAGTAACGACATCTAGACCAGTGGATGGTGTGACAACAGAAGCTGCCATTTCGGAGCTTCCAGCAGCAAAGGCAGAACTTCCAGTCACTACAGAAAACGTGATTTCTTCTGAGGCTTCAACAACAACTGTGCGGCCAAAGGAGCGAGTGACCACTGGGCCATCGTCATCAGTTGAACCAGAGATAACGGTGACGACAACAGAGTCAGTAATTTCTAAGCTCCCAGTTACGACTGAGGCAGTTCAGACGGAAGTTTCGAAAACACAAAAACCAGAGGAAAGAGTGACCACAGAAGGTGTGCCCTCTGAAGCGTCCACAACACTCAAACCAGAGGATGCAGTGACAACTGAAGCTGCTGTGTCTGAACTGCCAACATCAAAGGCAGAGCTTCCTGTGACAACAACAGAAGAAGGTGTGTCTGTTGAAACATCGACCACGCCTGAACCAGAGAAGCAGGTGACCACCGAGCCATCATCATTGTCAGTTAAATCCGAGGAAACTGTGGCGACAACTGAGGCTGCATCTTTCGAAGGGCCTACAGCACTGAAACCCGATGAGCGTGTCACTACTGAGTCAACTGCCACCTCGGAACTCCCAACTGAAGGCGTGCCTTCTGAAATTTCAACAACTGTCAAATCAGAAGAGGCGACATCACAGAGATCCGTTGATGAGCTACCAACAGCAAAGGCAGAGCTACCAGTGACAACAACTGAAGGAGAAGTGTCCTCAGAGCCGACGACAACTTTGAAACCTGATGAGCGAGTTACTGCTGAAGCAACGACACTTAAACCAGAGGAGAGAGTGACCACGGAAAGTGTGATTTCTGAAGCAGTAACGACATCCAAACCTGAAGATGCAGTGACTACTGAAGTTGTTGTTTCTGAAATGCCAACATCAAAAGCCGAGCTTCCAGTCACAACAACAGAAGAAGGAGTGTCTTCTGAAATGTCTTCAACAACTGTCAAACCAGAGGAGCGAGTGACCACTGAACCTTCATCGTCAGTTAGACCTGAGGAAACGGTGACGACAACTGAGCCAGTCATTTCTGAGCTTCCAGTTACGACTGAGGCAGTTCAGAGAGAGCCTTCAACCTCACTCAAACCAGAGGAGA